AAATCCACAAATTTTCTCTTCTGTAAAATCTATGGGAATCATATTAGCGAAAACGCAGAGAGACGTTTTGTTTTCGAGATCATCGAATGCCGTGGTTAATGCAGAGTTCATATTTCCTCATTTTGTCTCATGCTCGTGGGTAAGGGAGGAAGCCTTGACCATCAACGAAAGTTATGGATTACATATCTCTTTGAATATCACTTTTGTTGGAAGTTACTGGGTCTAAATTTGTTTTCACAAGTGCCTTTGTTCCTAAATGATGTTTGGGCGACCAACTTCAAAGAAATCATGGGTTTTCACAAGAGGATCACGATTTCATAGTCTCAAATTGTCTCAAATTTTTATTGTATAGCGGTAAATTAATGCTCTATACAATTTGAAAAAAATGGGCCACCTGACGATAGCCCTAATAACTCTTTATGGTTATAAAATAAAGTAACGCCTCCAAGCAATGAACTTTGAACTTAGATTCGACTCAAATTTAACGGGTTTCTTTTAAAGGTAAACTTCACTGTAACACGCGCACTCTTTTGGTTGGACGTGAAGCAAAAGTGGTTTGTGCGCTTAAGGTTTCGGATCAAGGTCTGGGTTTAAGCTTTAGAGAGATGCTTTGGACTGATTTTAACCACCCAGGAGACTAGATTGGTGCGATCACGTTTATCAGGGGAACCTGAGGGTGGAGGGGTAACCTTGCTGTGGACTGGCATTTTTTTAGGGAAGGAGGAAGTAGCCATAATCATAGCCTCAAGAGGATATGACTTTCAGCGCTAGCTCGAATATTAGTTTTACCTGAAACCACTCAATAAGTACCAGTTGGAAAGCGCTTCAGAAAAAGGAAATAGATACTTACGATGATTCTTTCGACACTGTGCTTTCTGCACCTAAAAATATGTGCATTTAGGAAACATGACTCTAATTAACACTGCATATAAAACAGACTGGTTCGTTTTCTGCCACACTGTAAAGTGTGGCAAAAACAAAGCAGAATGTTTTTGTTATCTCGAAGATTTGTGTCTAAATAATGATCACCCATAAACCTGTGGTTTCAATATTTTGCGAACATCCTATATCACATATTCAGTGCTGCTTTTCAATACGGCAGCTCTTAAAAGCACGAAATCGGCAAAGAAAATAAAATTTGAGAAGCCAAAGGCAATTCATTGTAGTTAATGACTTTTAGGAAAAAGCTGAGGATCATGATTTCCATTCCCGAGGTATATAGGTACGTCAAATTTGAACTGTAGTAATATACGCCATTTATGGAAATAAAATGGCCTTTTATGTATAAGCCAAGGATCCAATCGAAAAATAATATGATTTGAAAACCAAGAAAATAATATTTTTTCTAAAAAAACGTTGTTTTGATTCCACTATAAGGTATGGTTAATCTTCAGTTTTCTTTTCGCAGACCCAACGAATGTTGCTGGGTAAAAGAAAGCCAATAAATGGCTTCCATGAGTTAGCGATGTCTAAATCATGATAATCATATTATTGGAACAATTTTCAGGTTAGAAAGCATAATAATACGTAATTTTTTACAAAAAATCGAACGTATTTACCTTTTCGTTGACGGTTCCTTCGTTTTAGCAATATAAGTGCAATGAAAATGATCAACACTACGAAGAACACTGCTGCTGAGGAAGCGGCTATTATTACTACTGTGGGGAATGAACTGCTGTTGTCATCTGTGATTACCATGGTTGGTATGAACACAGTTGTTGAAGATCCTGGATTAGATGCGCCTGTATTTTCATATTTCAGATGACGTTAATCATGATATATCAAGACATAAGAATACCTATTCTAAATAGTGCTCATGAATGATCAGACAAAATTATTTACCGACTGTCCAACCTTCAAGCGTCCAAAAGAACGAAAACAAGGAAGACCAATATCAAATGGAAAGAGGTCCCTTAAACTCTGCCACACACACACAAAAAGAAAACAACATCAACAATGAGCAAAACAAAAAACAAAAAAAGCAAACTAACCATAAATCAAAACAAAACAGAAACAAACACACAAACAAACAAACAAAATTAGGCTAATCTAAGGAAGTTGCTCTTTTATATA